CTTTTCCACAAAATTTCAGAAATAAACAATGACAGCACTTGAACTGAACATTGATCGGAAGGTATTTGCGTTGTTACATAATGAGCTGCGTTTATTATCCTTACGACATTGCGTTCGAACGATATTTGAACCAGATTATCGCGCAGTGATAACGCGAGGCATGAAACTCGTACCGTCGTGACTACTTCCATACCTATTAGATCATATTTAATGGAAACAAAAAACACAGAATATTAATTTTGTGGTTCTTACCAGAGTAGTCTGCCATCAACGCTCTGAATTTAATTCACAATCAGCCCGTTAATAGTTGCTTCACCGAATTTAATAATTTCATTTTCAAGCAATTTATTCAACAAAAAAATAATATTAACATAAACAAAAATAAAAATATCAATGACGTTAGTTCAATAGATTTTAATTTACAAGATAAAAATAAGCAGACTAGATTATTATTATATACACATGCCGATTGATTGGTTCTCCTTTTCTTGGACGTTAGCTTTTCTATTTCATACTACAGACGATAATATCGTTTGCTCCACACCACAAAACACCACACCACATAACACCACGCCACATAACACCACGCCACAAAACACCACACCAGACTACACACAGAGCTCGGACCACACACACCACACAAAAATACGGGTTATACATATGAACGAGCAGTCATTAATGAAACATGTATAAATGTATTTATACCGCAAGTAACAATAGATATATTTATTCACAAGCTTGCAAACTAATGCCCCGAATGATTATTGAATATTTGAATCTGTAATATGAATGAAGAAGCATTCCAAAAAGATGGCGATGATGTAAATTTAAGGTGACCTTGAGTTGGCGATAATGGAGCTGGAACACGCCCAGCAAGTCACGTTTGCACGCACACTGCCTGCCTGCCTGCTTTTTCTTGCGATGTAAGCGTTCGCGCGTGCGTGTTTGCATGCGTGTATGCATATAAGGAGGACATCCAGGCACTTCAGTGTTTCAGCTGGTTGTGACCTTGAACGAAAATCTTGTTTTGACTGCATCTGCGTCTCATGAAATATGACAAATAATGTCTACCAGTGCTATCTTCTTTCAGGCTAATTATGCGAAATTGCTTAGGCCGATGCTCTGTTTGAAACGCCTTCTTCCTCATGAATATTAAACGCTTCCAGCAGTTGAGCAACGTGGACGAACGTTTTGCATAACTCTATTGAATTTTTGGCTATTTTAGCATAAAAAACTCCATATATTATACCTATTTTAGCATTTTTTATTTATTTATTTTTTTTATTTATTTATTTATTTTTGAAGGATGACCAAAAAAGATAAACTTGTGGATAGGCCACCCTTAACTAAAATTTCTAACTATAGATGTAACAGAAATGTCATGAAAAACATACACATAAACTCACGCTCACACATACTTACAAACACGCACCATACTACAATTCATATCACAATACTGTTATATAGAACTGAAGAAACAGAATCAATGAAATGAAATGATCTGGAAACCAAACGCAAACGCACGCTCACTTACACACTCACCTATACCCACCATCAAACACACACACACACACACACACACACACATATTTCGTCGAACCTGATCGAATCTTCCAGATTGTTAACGACCCGGCAGACCCAACCAAGCCCAACATAATTCATATTCCTAAAACACGCTGCCTGAATACACAGATACATACATACCTATAAAAATTCATAATGATTTAAATATGAAGTATATTTACTACAATTACACATTAAAAATATCATTTATGGAAACATATGAAAACCGTATACACATCATAAGTTGGCCAAATGATAAGAAATTCTTGTTTTAGTAAATAATAAATGTAAATAAATGTTGTTCAAGAAAAGGTGACTATGATACATACAAACAAAAACACACCCAACACACACCTCACACACACACTCACCCACGCATACATACAAACATACATACAAAATATGATTGCCTTTTTAATATCAAGTTAAAAAAAAGTATTTTGCTCAATCAAAAATTTTTTGACTTTGTTTTTAAATAAATGTTTTTGACATAAAACACATAATACATTAACTCTAATACGCTAATGTTAATTTTATTGATATAAAGGATAAGCAAATTCCTGTCCTACATTTATATCTCCCAAAATTAAAAAAATGTTCAGATTATTTATTTACTAACAGTGACAATCGACATTATTTATTCGAATTAATCGATTAAGTTGCCAAAACATTATACTCAATTTTGTTAAAGAAAGAACTTTCTAACGGAGTCGTCTTATTCCAATCACAAACTAACAAAGAACAAACTTGTACCCACTCTGTTCAAACGTTCACACAGATGTTGACACACACACACACACACACACACACACACACACACACACACACACACACACACACATACACACACACACACACACACACACACACTTGCAAACACATAAATACAATGGTACATACTTCAAAATACTAAAGCACACAAATTAGGAAGCACGTACGTGGATATGGACACATCAACACGAAGTACGTAAACTCTTTTGAAAGCACATGCAGACACACATTTATATGTGCACATGTCCACACACACCCGCACACACAAACGCTTACAGAGACATCTCGTGTACACATACACTACCTCTATGATAATCCAACGCTGACCGTGACTCATCATTGTGTACTAACATTTTTTCTCCGCCCAGAATTACCCTGGACACCACAGCTGGTTTCGATGTGATTACAAAAGCGGACAATTTCAAACGAGACTATTTCATGCAAGTAAAAATTTCACGATCGTACCATGGTTGTGGATGTTTGAAGAAATCAGCGTTAACGACAGTCTAAGAAGAAATGATTTTCATCATTTAATTTCTTCAGGTTAGCG